CACTTGTTGAATTCAGCTTTTGGCTTCCCCCTCTTGACTGCATCAAGTTCAAACTTCTTGTTTTCTTTAAAGATCTTTCACGATTCCACCCCCCACTCCTTGTCTCCTACGGAGTTACCCCACACATTCTCTTCTCCAGTAGTGATGCCAGCCTTCGTGCCCTATTAGCATGAAGATTGCTTCTCCCAGAATGTTTCTTCCTACTCCAATACTTGCTCTGCAAGACCACTACCTTTTCTTAAATCTCTTCTAAAAACCCTGTGATGGGGTGCTCCACTCACCCCTATGATGGTGCCTCCTCCTGGTCACTTTGGAGAATAACTCGCTGAGTCAGCTCCCCTTCCCACAGTTGCACTCCATCTCTCTCTGCCAGTCTGCAGCACCTCTCTCACTCCATGAGCTGCTGCTGCCTCTTGGTGACACAGCTGCCTGACCAGGTCACAATGTGTTCTCCCCTTCTAGGTCACCAAAACTTTTCTCCCTAGCAACCTCAGGTAGTCCTCCCTTTCACTGCCCCCCATGTGCCACTCCTCAGTGCCTGGCAGGGGAACCCCAAGTTCCAACTCAGGGACCCACTAGTCAGCAGTCAAGAACTGTTCCCTTTTAGACCTTACTGCCTTTCCCTGAGCCCTTTTCCTTACCATCTGGTGCTCCCTCCTCTCTGAGTTTGCCAGCCTCCTAACTCCCCCCATCCAGGGAGTAACTATGGGCTACCTGTCCCTGTAGCCTCCAAACACTTCTCCCAGAGAGTGACTTCAGACATTCCCAGCAGCCCCTCTTTAGCTAATTTCCTGTCTTTATAAATCCATCCCAGCTGGTTCCTCCCCTGCTGGGCTCCCTCCCTTAGTCAGGGGATTGCTTAGCCACCCAGTTCCTTTCAGCTATGGCCTGTTGGTTTATTAGCCCATTTCTCAACCTGCTGTAACCCTGTCAAGGCTAATGTGGGGTGAGCACCCCATCACAGACCCCCCTTTTCCTGATGCGTACAAGAAACTAATTGATAGTCATCTGTAATGATGTTTTCCATCTTCAAATAAACCAATCTAACTTCTTTACTCAATCTTGCTGTTTTAGTCTTTCTGTGTCATAGTGATATTTGTACTGTGGTAGCACGTAAGAGCCCTCAGTCATGAATCAAGGCCCCACAGTGCTAGGCACTATGTACACACAAAACAAAAAGATGGTCTCTTCTCCGAATAACTTACAGTCTAAGTAGTCCCATCCTTTCACCTATGACTCTCCTTGTTGTCATGTCTCAAATACGTTTGCAAAGGAGGGTGTGGGAGGCAAGGGATCATGTAGTCTATTTGTATTATCAGGCATAGGTATGCCCTTGGGCAGTTTAAATAATAGTGCTCCCCCATAAATAGCATCTATCACTTCAAACAAGAGGGCTAGTTAGTGCCAAAGCTTAAATCAGTGGTTCTCAACTTATTATACATTGTGGGACGCATATGCAGAGCAGCCCCGACCCTGCTGGCTGGCCACCCTGGACCACCACCACACGGCTGCCCCGGAGGACGCGGGGCCGGTCAGCTGCCTAGACCCTGGAGCTTGCGGGGCTGGCCGGGAGCCATGGACCCCTGCTGTGCAGGGCCGGCCAACTGCTCCATCCCCAGACCCCCACCGCGCAGCTGCCCCGGACCCCTCCCCAGGGCCTGGGCAGCTGCCCTGGACCCCTCCCCAGGGCTGCCGTGGACTTCACAGCTCGCAGGGCCAGCCAGCAGCTCCGGGGCCCCGAACCTGTGGTGCCGGCTGGCAACCCTGACGCTGCCTGGCAGCCTGGACCTTGGTGACCCCAGCATGCTGGTGGCCTTGAGCACACAGCTGAGCTGGGCCACAGATGTGTGCTAATTGGGCCGCATGCGATCCGCAAGTTGAGAATCGCTGGCTTAAGTAAATACAGAGATAAAGTTCCCCTCACCACAGAAATGATTCGTCCAAGTTAGGAATGAAGCAGATCAGCATGGCAGTGCAGGGAAATTTGCACCCATGTTGCCATAGTGTATCTGATCTGCGGCTGAAGAGGTTTTAAGTTTCTCTGTTAGTACAACATCATTCACAAAGATTGAAATTTACGAAAAATTTGGGGAAAGGGAGAAAACATGGACTTAGATTATCATTTTACTGTTGGTATCGTAAGATGCACAGCACTGCCAAGCTTGTACTTAGACCAATCTCGGATCTGCCATTTCTCATTCAGTTGGAGTGCAGAGCTATTTCTCTGCAGTTTTCCATCATTTACTACAGAGACGAAAAGACTGCATTTGAACTGTATTTTAAAACATCCAGTTTATTCAAGTCTGACCAAGATTCAAGTCCCAGTTGCTAGGTTAGAATGCAAGGAATGTTTTAAGGAGACATTTGGGTTTCCAATTTGTGACTATGGAATACGGCTTTCAGTTTTAGTGCTTTCACATAACAATTCTGTTGTAACCAAGCAGATTATCTCTCTGCCATCTGGTCATGTATGCCTCAGTTGACTTCCACAGGCCTGTACGCCACTGTGCTTTTGACCTCTACTTCCAGCCCCAGCTGTCCTTTGCTAGCCCTCCTATGTTCTCCAACTCAATTCCTTAGCCTTTCCTCAGTCCAGTTGTCTTTCCAGCCCTCCTGGGTTCTAAAGGTGACCATGTCCCTCCTCTACTGTATGTCTCCAGTCCTGGGACTGTAACACCATGGCTGGTCAGCCAGATGTCAATTCAAACTATTTCCCAGAGCCACTTTGTACGCTCTTGCCTGGTCTCCTTTATGCCCCCTTCTGCGCCAAGGCTTCCCCACCTTCCTTGTCAGAGAACCACTTTCCAGGTCTCACCTCTTCATGGAGCAACTGCCACAGCCTTTCTAGCTTTTTGAGTGTCTCTCTATTGAGTCACAGGCTTCCCTTAGTCACATGACCAGCCAAGTAGTTCTCACTTGATCCCTCTGGGAACTACTTGTCCAGAATACCTGTTTTTACAGGGCCAAAACCCACAGGACTATGCAGGCTTGTGGCTCATCCTGAACCAATTCACTCTGCTACATTTGCCCATTTAGTGATGGTTCTCCTCCTAAGGTCCTTATGTGGCCACAGTGGTGAAGGGTTTATTCTGTATATGGGAGCAGGAGTTAATAGAAATAACTAATTGAAAATATAACCGTAAACACCTAAGGGTACGGTGCAATTCTTAACATGCAGCACAGAGTTTAAATGGTTGGAGACCAATTTTAGGCATGTGGGCCACATTGTTGTTACAAATCAAATCTTCAAGCCATAACTGTCCCAGGGCTGCTAATATCTTATGCTAGTCTTGGGCCATTGAGTTTATTCTTGTCCAGGCATTTTGGTTTATATTCTACATTTCCTTGGGGCACAAAACGGTGCAAATTCTCTTCTATGCCAGACTCCTCTCCTGCACCTGTCCCTGTTAACCTAGCAAATCACTGCAGTCTGCATTCATGCCCCCTCACCCCCCCAACACACACACACATCTGAGCTATTCAGCGTAGCACTGCCATGTGCCAAATACAGATACCTGAGTGACAAAGGCTGGAGTTGAACTGAGTTCTTAGGAAGCCAAGTGGAAAGAGGCCTCCAAGGGAATCCTAACAAATAGTAGGAGTAGTGAAACTAGAGTCTTAAAGGGAGCTGTTCCAAATGCATGTCTGCACACCATGAGAACCAGTACTCCTGCATTATCCCAGAATTTAGCATGAGACTTTCTTTCAGTAGCCACAATTAATATGTAAGAAAAGAGTGTGAAAAACACCAAGTTTGTTTAATAAACAAAAAGCTTGTTTAGATCTAAGACACTGGGTAAACTGTATTAAGCATAAATAGACCTAGAAGAACAAACCATCCATAAGAGGGTATTACATGTTCTGTTGCTGCCAAGTCAGTGGAACATAAGAGAACTGGTGAGCTGAATAAATTAAAATGTCCTAACTGTTGCTTTAACGTATACATTCATTTTTTCCTCCCATAATTTCTAAAAGTTTGGTGTAGGAGAATGTGAGTTTTCTTCAATCTACCTGTCCAGTCTCCAGTAAATTTCACAAGATAAGCACCAAAATCAAAAAGGGGGAAAACCAAATTGCAGAATTTGAAAGGAGCCATATTGACAGTGAAAAACAGTAACTAATAACAGACTAAGGATTTTATCTCATTGCTCCTAGTTCGCATGTGGTTCAGAATGGTAGTGTCTTGAAAATTACATCTGATGGCTTTAGTAACCTATGCAAAGTGAATGGGTTGTATCAGTCTTGTTCCTAGGCCAAGAATCTGATTGGTCCATGGATACTGCTTTCCATTTTCCAACTCTAGAAAAGGGATCTTTTCCAGGTTAGTTTGAAACCTATTTGCAAGGCACCGTAGAAGAACTTGCTCTGCAGCTTGCCTGTGCAATACCTGAACTATGCAAATATAGCACTTCTTTGCACAAGAGTTTGACATCTAGTGCCTTTCACCAACACTGGGTTATTTTTAATCATTAAGTTTTAATTTTTGATAATTGCTTGCAAGAAGATAATCAGTACTCCTACCTCTCTCCTTATCACCTCTAAATCTTTTTTTTTTTCCCTTCAGTCTTATAGAAGCCTATCTAATTTTCCTGTCCTGCTCTCTGACAACATGGATGGACCACTTCACTGTTACTTTTGTATGGTTTCCAGACATGATTTTTCCAAACCTAGCAGTTAGACTGCCATTTTGTTAAAATGGCATAAGCATTCAAAATGCACTGGGGAATGGAGATAGATGTAAATAAGGCCTACATTCTTCTTGCGTCTGTATTAGTATCTATTGCTACCATCTGAATTTCATTTCAGGTTGTCGTTTGTTTGAAGTTACATCTTCTTTACTTTACACAGCCTTGGGCTGTAACATCACCATTTGCCTACAAGAAATCCATTTCTATCTGCAGCAAAATAAATTGCCTTCCTCTGTGTAATCTGGTTCTAATGAATGCCTTGCTCCTCATTAAACTGTGATTTACCTTTGTTTCCCTTTTCTGTGCTGTCAGAACTAACCATTGGAGGTCCTGTGGAGAGATGCTAATTTTGAAAAAGTGGAAGTCTGTGACTAAGCACACACAACCGGTATCCACAATGGCACTTTTCAAAGATATTCATAGAACACTTCGTGGATTACAGTTTGAAGGTGGATAAGAGGACTCAAATTGTTGTCTTATTCATAATCTTCCAGTGTACAAATATAACACATGACTTTACAGTCTCAAGTTATCCCCTTTCCATAACTGACCTTATGTTCAGGACAAACAGACTTTGTTCTGCAAGAATTTTAAAGATTCCCCTGGCACTTTTTGAAAGACTAGGGTTTGGCTCTAGATGTCCCAAAGAATAACCAAGTAGAGTACGTATTTTAGGAGCTTCTGTAGAATACTTCAAATTTGAAAAATATTCTAACAGTAGAATCGCTGTTATGTAGGCTACTCTGTGAGTCTCAGAACTATATACATTTTTATTGTCTGGGTTTTTTCTCTGACAGCAAAGGATTAGTACTATAAACTAGAAATAGGGGTGGTGTCAGTGGTCGCTGTACAGGTTCTGCACACAGCTCTCTGCAAGTGCCTGTCAAATCTGACCTGCTGTTTTTCCAGCCCTGGTCTTCTCCTGAGTATTGGAGAATCTGCCACTTGTGCCGGATGACATGCTAGATTTGTGCTGTTGACAAATGCTGAATTAGGCCTACAATTAAACTACAAAACTCACACTTACTTTAGACTTAAACAGAATGTGAACTCTCAGTAGCAGTTTATGAATGATATATGATCTTGTTGATAATATAATTTAAAGAAATGCAAGTAGTTCTTAGGGAGTTGAATTCTTTACAGCATCAAATGGTTTCTACCTCGTATCTTAGTACTAATGGCTATACATTAATGCATTTGATCGCTATCCCATAAATTTAACTTGCCTTTTTTTTTAATATGCACAATCACATATGGTCAAGTTGTCCCTGGTATAGCACCATTGTGATTAATGGGTGTCAGAGGAGTTACACTGGATTAATTTGATCCATTGAATATTGAGGGGAGTAAAGCATGGGAATTTTTTTTTAACTGGTCTTGCCTAAATCATGCAATATTTGGAAGTAAGAAGACTTTGATTAATGTAACAACATTTTTATTTTTAATATACATTTTAGAAGACAAAACTGACCTTGAAAACAGTGTGATGCAGAAGAAAATTAAAATCCCCAAACTCTCTCTCAATCACGTAGAAGAAGCTGGGGAGGTTACAGATTATGGGGAAGAAGATGTGGAGCTTAGACACAGTAAGGTATTGAAGTTTTTTTGTTTTGTTTTTTTGGGTGTTTGTGTGTGTGAAAGTGCTTGGGGCATATGCACACATGTCATAGCTAAAGAATTCCAGGCTGGCTTTCCATCCCCTTAAAACGTTGTATGGATGTAATTGGGTCAAGTTGGCGGGCAGGGGCTGTGGGTGAGAATTCTGAATTGGTTTACAGACCAGCTTTTCAGAAATCTAGTTCATGTGCAGTTGAGAATTATTTTTATTTGTACAGTCTGCATAACTTAATTGCTGTTAGAGATTTTTGGAACAATGTTGTTTAACTTTGGCCCAGGTTGACCCAGTTATATGATTAAGCAGCTGTTCTTGGTTGGCACTTTTTAACCTGTTGTACTCAGCTTGTCTTGAATAGAACAGGGTGCTATGAAAGTCCCAACTAAAGATTTGGGTGGGAAGAAAAACTAAACAAAATTGAATCCCTCTGATACAGAGGTCAGTGGTCCCTTCAGGTAGAGATGTCAAAAACTGTGTAATTTTTTTGTTTTTGTTTTCAAGTAACTTCTCCTTTAAAAGTCTGCCAACCGGGCGGGGCGGGGGTGAGGGTGGGGGTGGGGAATATTGCTTTGTGGCTTCATGTGTTGTCTAACTGCAGGAATTATACTAGTAAATTTATTTATGGAGGGATGGCATTTTTTAGAGCATGTATGGCGCAGGAATAACATTGAATAATCTAATTTTCTGCCACATTACTCCTGGACGTGGTATGGGAATTGATAGCATCAGTTTCTTGTGTTTAACCCATGAGCTAGGTTTGCTTTCCTGTCAATTACTTGGAAATTCAAATACTCTTTCTATATTTGGCCAGTTGAAAAAACTGGTGACTTTTTGCCTATACTGATACATGGTAATACCATCACCCAGACCCTTTACAAAGGAGTATGCATTTATTAATAGGGTTTGGACTACTGTATGAAAGAGCAAAGGTAAATTGCTGCTAGAAGTTCACTGAAAACGAAACATCTGCAATGCAATACTACTATATAAAGAATCTCTTGATCTGGGGGATGGGACTAGATTGTATATTCTCTAATTTATTATTGTAATTCCCTTTCCAGTGCTTGCAAATAGTATAACTCATCTATTTTCATGGGGAGGGGTGTGTGTGTGTGTGTGCACGCGCGCATGGGGATGGGAATAGTTAGTGGATGTTTGTCTGAGTGGTGATTGAAAGCACAAGTCTTCAGTTCATGAAATGGCTTCAGATGGTGTGCTTCTAATAAGCAGTTTTCTCTCTTTAACTCAGTTAAACTGCTCTTATTTATACTGGTGAAAAAAATATTGACAGTACTTCAGTCATTTTTTTAAAGTACCCTGCAATTATGGATAACATACAAAATACATAATTGATGCCTTTTTTCCCTTTAAGACAATCAGAAAAGGAAATATAAACACGGTATGTATGCTAAACATGAAGGGCTGGACTTTCAAAAGGGAGACGCCCAGGTCCTTTTTTTTTTTTTTTTATTTAAACTGAAAGTTCTGCCTAAAGTACCCACCACTTGCGCACACAATTTGGGCAAATGCAACCAAGGAAGTCCTCCAGCAGTTCCTCAGATTTGCATGTTAATACACGTGTAATTCAGTTATGGTAAGAGTGTTCACAAGCATCCTTTAGGAGCAACGTTTTATTTTTGTAAGGTGGACCTTGTTTCACTTTTTTGGAAAACAGCCTTAATTGTCCTGAAGGCTGGAGTTTTAGTTCATGTTATGTATTGTATTCCCGCTCTGCTAATTTTCTGTATTATTGTAACACACAGAGACAAGACGGGAGGAAACAAAGCGAAGGCACACACAAAAGCATCGAAGCAGTTGTTGCTCGCCTAGAAAAGCAAAACGGGATGAGTCTTGGTAGTAGTTCAAGCCCTGAGGAAACCTTTATGGAGACTTCGGAAGGCATTAACAACATGGACGATGCTGTAATTCCTCGTGTTCTCTATGAAGAATTGCTGAGGAGTTACCAACAGCAGCAAGAAGAAATGAGACATATTCAGCAAGAACTTGAGAGAACACGGAGGCAGCTTGTGCAGCAGGCAAAAAAGCTAAAGGAGTATGGGGCATTAGTGTCAGAAATGAAAGAGCTCAGAGACTTGAACAGGAGACTTCAGGATGTGCTGCTTCTGAGATTAGGCAGTGGTAAGTGCTCAGTATACATGGGACTAGTTTTAACAGGCTTTACAATATCTTAAAAATAGAAACTGAAACTTCTTCCAGGTGTAGGGATGGGGGGCAAACAGGACTTTGCCTGTTAAAGTGCTTTTTCCACTTCAGTTGTGCTGTGCATATTGGATTTGTACACCACGCGCCTCTGGATCTTTCTTTAATGATAGCAGCAGTCTTTGTGCCGGTAAGTCTGACTCAGAGTTTCCATGTTACAGTACTTTGTTCAGTTCTTTTAAAAAAAAAAAAAAAATTTTTTCACCCCAAACTGAAAGTTGTAGTAAAGTTTATCTTTGGAACATATCTGTCTTTCCTTTATTAAATTACATTTTTAAAAAATTCCATTCAGCACATAGTAAGTGTAGGGCAGACCATAAGGTCTTACTGATTGCAGCTGTTTGTGGAAGGTGGGTTTTTTGGGTTTTTTTTATTTAAGGTTTCCTTGTTATGAATAAGTAACCAAGTTTTGGCTTTTTAAAACTTTTTGTAGGTCATTCGATTATAATATGTTCTTGAACGTTTTGGCATTTGATTTAAACAGCAAAGGTATTTGAGAAATTATGGGCTGTTCATGAACATAAGTGTGTTTTTGTTTTTGTTTTTTTTTTTTTTAAATAAGCACAATGATCCATTATAAAAAATATTGGTTATTAAATGCAGGTTTTATACAATTTTGGATTTAGATTCCAAATAGCTTGAATCAATGGCAGTTTTTTTGTTCAGTGATAACTATTTAACTATTATATTGGAATTGGTGCAGAGTAGTAGTCTGTGTCACTTGGGGGTGATAAAACTGGAATACTTCATTATGATTTTAAAAATAGTTTTCATGTTTGTTTTTATTTGTAAATAAAATTCAGAGCCCAATAGTCAAAAAGGTCCATAGTCAAGTCTTGACCACTGAAATTTGCAGTTATGGGTTGCACGCCCAAGCTTTGGCATGCTGTTTTCCATGTCTGTTTTGGGACATGCGGAAGTTGATTTTTCACACACAATTCGAATAGAGGGCCACCTACTTGATTTGCATGAGTGTCTGAGGTTTCTGTGCCAATCTGAGGTTTGTCCACACGAGATGTTGGATGTGAAAAATTGCATGTTTATGGTTTTGCACGCATTGAATTGTGCTTGACTGAAGTTCACTTTGAAAACTTGACTCCAAAGATTTAAGATGGACTTAGTATGGTGACTACCCAGAGTAATTAATTAAAGGGCATGTAAAGATTAAATAAGCTTTCCACACAGTATTAGAGACAAAATGTGGGTGGTTGTAAATTCCAGTGAGTTCTCTGAAATTCTCCTTGGATGAAAAGATGTCCTACTATCAACTAAATGAACATATGTGAATTGTCAGTCCAGATGTTAGCAGTCAAGTCTACTAACCACTGTTTTATTGGGCATTCTTGCTGGTAGTCTCAGTTGTGTGGCCAAAACTGGAATGAACACAGGGTATGGATTATTCTTTCATTCCTAGGGATAGTTTCTTCAATAGGGATTTGATGCATCTTTGCATGGACTGGTGGAAAAAACTTGAAAAGGTGTTGCCCATGCCAAATATATTCTCTAGATAGTGGACTTGAGTTTCTAATGCATCAATCTGGCACCATTTTAACAATCATGAATAATACCACCAGCATTGAAGAAATCCATTCAGCAGATTTTTTTTCTTAAACTATTTCAGATTTGAGTGATGAATCTAGACAGTTATAGAAATAGTCTCTCTGCAATGAACTAGTGAAACTAGTGGCACCTCTTTCCAATACCTGGCTTATCTATTCACTATTGGGAGTGATTTTGCTGAAGACACATTTCATGCAGCTCCAGCCCTGTGGTCAGCTTCACAGAAATGGACAATGCCTCCCATTGATCTGGCCACTGCTTTCCTCCTGAAGAGGGTGCAGCTCCCACCTTTGACTCCTGGGGGAATTCTGTGCCAAAAAATTAAAATTCTGCACATGGTATTTTAAAATTCTGCATATTGAATTTATCAAAATAACACAATATAATCATGCCAGTTTCAATTAGTTTGGTAATTTATTTCAAAATATCTGTCAGCAAGTATGTCTAACAATACAGACAAAAAAAATTCTGATTTTTTTTTTTTTTTTTACAAATAGATTCCTTACTTTGCATATTAATACAGATTTTTAAGTAATTAATTTAAACTACAATACTGAAATGTATTTCCAACACCCCTCAGAAGCGGTGCAGAGGCTTGGGGCTAATGGAGGAGCTGAGGGGGAGAGAAATAATTGCAGGGAGTGAACCTGGAGGGTTGTTACATGTGGGTAGAAGACGTATGGAACAGGTTTGTTTTTTTTGGTGCGGGGGAGAGATTGTTAGGGGGTTGTGGAATCTTCCCCATGCAGACCCTTGCTGATCCCTAGCCTCTCCCATTGAGTCATGCACATCTGCCCCTGTCCCCAAGTGTCCCTGCACCCCCACTACCACTTAGTCCCTGCCCCAGTCTGTCTCCCCTCCCCCCACTAGGCCTTCTGATCCTCAGTCTGTGTGACCCCGCAGCAGCCCCATGCCTCCTCCCTTGGCCCCATGGCAGGGTGCTGTGAGGAACGCAGCCTCTCCTCCCCCCAGTGGCCGTTGTGGCAAGGTAACCAGCTGCCCTCTGTTTTGGTGCCACAGTGGCCCCTGGTGAGTGAAAGGCATAACTGTAGTGCCACTCCAGCAGGATGTATTTCCTGCAGAGGAAAAAAAATGTGTATGGGGCATGAATTGTGCATGTGCACAGTGGCGTAAAATTCCCCCAGGAGTAACCTCTCTGCCTGGTCAAATCTGCTGCTCCCATTGCCCTCTCCCCCCCCCCCCCCCTTTGGAGAAAGCTATAAGAAGCAGCAGTACTAGCAGTGTGCGGAGTGTGCAAGGATGCTGTTGTATTAGAGCTTTGCAAAGGAAGTGGAAAGCTCTTTGCCTCTTCCACCTCCTTTGCACTCCTATGCAGAGCGAACAAGTTTGTTGTACACTGTAATTTTGGGGCACTATAAAAAATGAGGGTTTGCGCTTTTTAAATTTTGTACTTAATCCCTGTCCAGATGTGCACATTAATTTAGAAAGTTCCATTGTTGTTAATATAGGGATGGAGAATCCCTTAAACATTAGAAAGTACTTGGATTCCTAGCCTTTGTGGCATGTTTGACTGTATCGTTTGTGTATTAAATTCTGCCCTACATCCATACAGTCTCGTTGGTTTTGGTGGGGTTATTAATGTGTAAAGGTAAAAGTTGGACCTAAATGTAGCCATCATACATTCTGTCAAGATTTAAAGCAGCTACTACAGATAATTCAATGTCCTTTTCCTATAATGGTGGTTTTAAAATAGAAAAAGTGTCAGCCCTTGGGAAAATAGATGCAAAATTAGTTTATGGTTAGAAATGTGGAACTACTGCAGACTTCAGTTGTGATAAAAGGGATCTCAAACATCTGTGTGTAAAGAAATACTGTTCCTTTACATCAACACATGGTTAGAGATCATTGAGAGATTGTTTCTACTCCTGGAAATGGTTACCTTTGTGAATATGTGCTGTCCATGAAAATAGTTTCAAAGGGTAGTGTCCTGGACTTATCTTTAGTTGTTCTGGTGACTTCATGAACCTAGAGTTTCAAATTACATGTAATTTATGTGAAGTTATATTCTTAGCAGGCTACTGTTAATGCAAACTAATTGCATTTCTGTTTCACCTAGGGACTTACACTTTCTTTGTGTGAGATGACAGCTGTTTGGTACGGATGCATCACAGCTGGGGGAAACATGTATTATTGCTGATGTTTTAAACTTGAAGGCCAGATGTAGACGAAAGTTCAGTTAATCTCTTTGTCTGTTACTGGAACTTGCTGCCTCCCTGACAGTGTGAATATCAGTGTTCATAGCCCTTTACATTTATGATACGGAGTTGCAATTTATTATACAAGAGCCTTGGCAATGACTTGCCATAGCTGACACAGCATCCTCAGATGCATCAGGAGGAGAATAAGATGGTCAGTATTTCACTGTTCTTTATGAAATATTAAGGGCTCGATTCTGATGTTAAGGCATAACCTTTCATTTGAGGTGGTGCAGCAGTACACTGTCTCATGGAGGCACAATATCTCCTAGAGTTCCAGGGAGCAAAGGAGTGGGGGAGAAGGTAACCATTGAACCAAAACCCTTGAAGAGGTGCAATATGTATTTCCTCTGCTGCTTGGAGGTGAATGCTATCGTATTGTGCTAGGCCTCTGCACACATGCAAAGGCTATTTTTGACCACCTTTCCTCTCCTCTGACTGTAATACACCTAATGTAAGGGGCTGCATGATCCAGTACATGTTGGGTACACCTACACAGCAGTTGAACACCCATGGCTCGTCTGAGTCAGCTAATTCGGGCTCATGGGGCTATAAAAATGCTATGTTTAGGTTTGGGCTTGGGACTGAAGCCCAGGCTCTGGGACTTCATAAGGGAGGAGGATCCCAGAGCCCAAGCTCCAGCCCGAGCCTAAACAGCTATGCAGCAATTTTTAGCCCCACAGCCTGAGCTCCATGAGTGAGAGTCAGCTGACCTGGGCTAGCCACAGTCGTGCCATGGATCTCTCATTCCAGTGTATACATCCCTAAATCATTGACTTTTATCCTCTGGAATCCCAGCTTCAAATATGGCTTGGATCACAAGTGATATGAATTTGAATAATATAAAAATGTTTCAGGCTAACAGCCTTCACACTGGGTAAGCGCTGCACAATTTAGTATGATTGTCCATATCAACTCAGAGGATGATCCTAGAAGCAGTAGTGTTCTGTTGGGAAGATTGCACATCTCTTACCAGAACAATGCATGGCTCTAGCTAGGTCAACCGGCGTTACACTTATTACTGTTTTCACACTATGCTCTTAATTCTCAGTATTGCAGTAGGACAGAAAGGGAGATATTCACCCAGATTCTTTGCTTATCTTCCAGTTTATCTAGTTACAGCTCCCTCATTCTTGGGGCCAGGTCTGTGTTCCTGAGTTGCGACATAGGTAAGAGCAGCCCAGGGCTGTTCCAATTTACACTGGATGGCTACAGTCAGTATGGAACCATTACCCCAAGTGAGCCTCGTAGGAACACATTGAATTTCAGCTGCATCCTCATCCCTGCCTGGGAACCAAACTGGGGGAGTGGAGCAGGAGCTGGATGTGCTGGTACAGCACCAGCAGAGAATTGCTCCACACCAGAAGAATTTTCATATGGCCATATTCAGCTGCTCTCTCTCGCTCTCGCTCTCTCTGAAAGAGAGAGCCAAAGAGTCTTATAAGCAAATGGCACTAGGAACCGAACAAATGAGGAATGTTTACTGCAGCACCATGAGTAACGGTAAATCAGCAACAAATCAAGAACAAGTATCTGGGGTTAGCCGTGTTAGTCTGTATCCAAATCAAGAACAGTGACTAAAAATCCAAGATTTCCCAGATTCCTCAATATCATGTGCATTCCCTTTCCAGTAGACATGCGGAAAAGCAGAGGCTTCCTGCCACAAAAAGGAAGTGCTGAACAATGCACCTCCACTCATCTCAAGTAGCATCAAAGCCTGCAATGTGTCTTTGAGAGAATGAGATGATCCACACACTGTAGAAAGGTTCCTGAGTAGCAGCCGTGTTAGTCTGTATCCGTAAAAAGAAAAGGAGTACTTGTGGCACCTTAGAGACTAACTGTGGAAAGAGCTTGTGGAAAGCCTGGCATCTGTTGATTCTGCAGCTGAAGCTATTGTGGTCCATATTGAGCAATCAGTAATTCTGAAACACCCCCCCAAAGAAAAACAAAAAATTTGGAGTGAACTAGAAAGGTTTCTTTCCTTTCTTTTCACATTCTTAAGAATTGTCTTTGCTGTATTTTAAAATGATCATTATGTAGTAAATATTTGCATTTTTGAGCCCTGAAGCTGTGGCCAATTTCTTTCACCCACTCCCTCCCTTCCTTTATTTATTTAAAAAAAAAAAACAAAAAAAACAGAAAGCAAATAAACTACAAAGAGAGAGAAACTTTAAAAAGTAAATTTAAAGTGTGGTGCATGGCAAATTAGGCACACAGCTCCCATTAGCAATAAAGCAATAGAATGAGTTGCATGTCTAATTCACAACATGCTGTGCTGAAAATGCAGTCTTTAGTACTCAGTGAAAAGAACTGTGAAGCCTATCCAGTTAGATGCAGCTTTATGGGTTTTTAGAGGTGGGGGAGGCAAGCTTTTAGAGTATAAAATAAGGCATTTTTAAGGCTTTCTGTCTGTGGCTTCCAAGCAATAAAGCATCAGTTAAATTTGATATTTTTGTGGCTCCTGAGACTTGCTGCTACAGTGGACTTTTACCAGTTACTCTTCTTTAGGGAAATCTGGAAACCAAACCCCAGCTGTGTCAGTATACTGGCTGTAAACAAACAGTAAAAAACTTCCAAGTAGAAAATAGCATAAATGTTTAAACCAAGAAACACTTTTCATTCTAGGAAGAAAATACTTCAACATAGGGTTTTTTCCCCCCTGAATTTTCCTTCAAAGCACAGAATTGTACATCTTGAGGATTACTTTCCTTGAGCTCATTGAACAGTTTGCCTCAAGAAAAGGCATGAATGTTCTCTTCCCAGCCTATAGTCAAGACAATCTCTAGGGCAGTGGTTTTCAACCCTTTTTCATTTGCAGACCCCTAAACAATTTCTAATAGAGATGTAGCCCCTTTGGAAATTCAACCTGTGGTCTGCAAACTCCTACCATAGAAGTCTTACACTGAAAACTGACTGAACAGAATTCAACTGTAAATGTTGCACGTGCTCAGCATGGCAGTTGACACAGTGGGAGAAAGGGGACTAAACTGTGGGTTTCTATGATAATGACAACACTTCCAGATTTTGGCCTATAGGTGCGGGTATTCACATACTTTTGATCAGAAAAACAGAAAGTAAATAAGGAAATGTTGTTTAGTGTTTCTCATAACACAAGAACTAGGGGTCACCAAATTAAATTAATAGGCAGCAGGTTTAAAACAAACAAAAGGAAGATTTTTTTTCATACAACGCACAGTGTCAGTCTGTGGAACTCTTTGCCAGAGGATGTTGTGAAGGCCAAGACTATAACAGGGTTCTAAAAAGAACCAGATAGCCATTGATGGACCTATCCTCCATTAACTTATTAACCAGAATGGGCAGGGATGGTGTCCCTAGCCTCTGTTTGCCAGAAGCTGGGAATGGGTGACGGGATGGATCACTTGATGATAACCTGTTCTGTTCATTCCCTTTGGGGCACCTGACACTGGCCACTGTTGGAAGACAGGATACTGCGCTAGATGGACCCTTGGTCTGACCCAGGATGACTGTTATGTTCTTAATGTCTTTTCTGGGATCTGAAACTTTATTTTCATAATCACCATTCATGGACCCCTTAGACATAGTCTGCGGACTCCCAGGGGTCTACAGACCACAGGCTGAAAATTACTGCTCTAGGGTAGTTGTGTATCAGTACCCTGCTTGTTCAGTTCATTAAAGAATGTGGGAAGAGGTTGAACATTTCTACCATATCCACTCATAAAAGGTAGTCTTGCAGTTGGTCTACCGCTGTGCGTGGTTTTAAATGCAACTGTTCAGTCTTCGCTTGGTGCCAACATCAGTGTCTGCTTGTGTATGATGTTGCAGGTGTCAGTGAATGCTGCTGTGAAACTATAATGTAAATGTGCTGCCTTTCATAGGGTTCTGTATTGGTACCATACTTGCATTCAATTCCTAAGAAACCCAATAGCTATCACTGCAGAATAGAGTTGTCCAAAGAACTGGAATTTTTGGTCCTTGACAATAAGCTAAATGCACCCCACTAGCTTCAAGTGCAAAATAACTATGATATTTAGGTCACGTACAAGCGATGTTAAGCCACATGGGGAAATTGCTATTTTTGCATACTAAGCTTTCATATGATTCTGTGTAGCATAAAGAGTAACGGATGCTATAATCGTTTCAGATACAGAGAATGTCCAAGAAGTATGATACAAGAGACAGATTTATTTTTTCCAGTGTACCAGCAGCTATACTGCCATTAGCTGAAACGGCAGTCTGATTTGCTGGGTTAGAGCAAGACAAAACTTGGGGCTATACGTACAAAAAGAGAGGTGGCAACTGCTGAGACTCAATTCCACAGTTAAAGATTACTAAATTAGTTTTTGTGGTTATTCAAGACTCAAATGTTGGATATGCAGTGCTAACTCACTCCTTCATAGTGTAGTTCTAGGGAGTATGAGAGTTACTCTTGTCGTTCGGTCCTGATCCTGCAGCTGATATACTGACCTGTACAAAACTACATTCACTCTAACAGAGCTTCATGTGGTATCGGTGGTTTGCTCACATGTATGCTTTCAGGATCAGAGCTATAGACTATATTTACTGGTGCTATCACAGTTCTAATGAATGAAATTATAAAATCCAGTTCACAAATTGTATTGTTTGACCCTTTTAGAATAACTTTGTAGTAGCTGATCTGGGGGGGGGGTGGGGATTCTGAAAAGCTGGTGTCATTGATAGTTAATTAATCTTCCTTAGAAACCTCAAACATCTGCTTAGCAATCTTCCATTGTTTAAATTGTGCTTAATTTTTGTTGATTACATTAAAATATAAATCAGGGTAACTGATCGGGCAATCAAAATTCTAATGTATGTTGTGTTAACACTTAGATGTTCCTTAAATTCAAGGCATTTTAGCATAAGTATCACAAGTCCATTCACTTAATTGTACCATTTCTGTTCATTCTTATTTTACATACCCCTATTTAAAGAATGTTTTAAATATTTTTACTTTTTTCCATGAAAAAGTATAGATCGCATATAATCGTCCAAGTAACTATACAGTAATTCTAATTTGAAGGATAACTGTTACCACCTCTGGTTTATATGTTCACTCAGTTTCATTATCATTCATTTGAGTACAAGTTATAGCTACCTCACCTATATTCTTTGAACTGTCCATACACACAATTATTTTTGAGCATGATTCTTTAGCATTAAGTGTTTAAAGCAGGAATGGGTAAGAGCCTGAGTTCTTACCCCGATTTTTATTGGGGACTGTTCAGATGAAGGGTTTTGCTTTGGATCCATTTCCATTCTAAAACAAACATGACTAATGTGGTGGTCTATGCTGACCATTGGTCAGTAAAATGATTGAGTTCATGTTCTTTGGGATAGCAGACAAATCTCTTTTCTTAACTGTGTAGGTCCTGCCATTGAACTTGAAAAAGGAAAACCAGAATCCATTGAGCCTGAGCCTGAGATACAGAAAACATTCAGTGAGGAAGCGAATACATCAACATACTATCCTGCCCCTGTTCCAGTAATGGACAAGTATATTCTCGAGAACGGAAAGGTATTTGAAACTAAATACTTTATAAATAGTAAAAAGTTTAAATATAAATATAATATAAATATTATAAATATTTAAATATTAAATATAATATAAAACTTTAACTGTTCTTCGGGTGGATTTCATACCAAACTTTCATGACATTAGAGTCTTTGCTGTAAGCTACTATTGTGTTTAGTGTTTTCCTAAATTTTCACAAAGTACAATAGTATCCATATAATAAGATTACAGGAACATCAATCACTGTGTGTGTCACTCTGAAGCTTATGTCTGTAGAGTTGGTAGGAAATAATGGAAATAGCTACAAACATGGTTGGTGGCCCTTTTTTTATTTAGAATATCCTCAGGATGAATCATCATTGGGTATTGTGATCTGTTACCATTCAGTTTTTAAATTTACAGCCATTTTGACTTGACAGATTACACCTACAGCTATAGAAAAGCATGTATCTATGGCATGCCAAAAGTTCTAAGATCACTGTGACCAATTGCCTCCTTTACAGCCAAGTTGAATGCAACAGTTTCACTGGTTGTATGAGGGGGTCACTGGATTTTGGCAACTGCCACCTGCACAAAACACAAATCTCTCAGTGCAACCTTCTCTAGACACACATCAACACGACCACCGCCACACACTGCAGTCAGCACACACAGTAACCCCAAACATGCCTCACCACAACATATACCCTTCATTCACAATGTGTACAAATTCACATTTCTTCCTGCACAACACAACAGAACCCCCCATTCAACAGCACAATCAGCACACACCACAACTCCAAACATTTGAGTATCTAAAATGTTTGTTGAGCCTGTGTGAAAACAAGTACAAACATGGTTGAGAGCGCTTGTTGTTCACAAGGTTCTGTCATCACTGGAGGTTTATGACTTGTTACTGTCCAATTTTTAAGTTCTCAGCCATTTTCAGCCTTTTTACATTTATGACTTTAGGAATTACACCTGTGTGACAGCATGGGATTGCAGGTAATAATCCCTAAGTAATAGACAGTTATACAAATATGTACCATATTTGAAACTGATAGTTGGTGGTAAGATCAATGCTACTTTGAAGTGAATGCACACAGTCAATATACGGAAAAGGACACAATGAATAAACTTAAGTGTTTACATAAATCCACTGGAATTATACCATACTCAGCAGATCCCCATTCCTGGGATGTGTATGCAGTCAGTGCCACAATTGGAGAACCTCTGGAAAGCAATATCCACATCAGGCTCCACCATGGTCCTTTTAGCTACCAAATATTATTTCATATAGTTACAGTGGCAGAAAAACATAGCACATTCCATTTCACCTTAAAATCAACATTACACAATTGATTGCATCTGGTTTTTGACACGTCCCTTGAATATGAAGTTAAAATAATAATTCATTGTTCTGTATTTTAACAGAGATATCCAAACACTTAGTTTGTTGGGATTTAGATTGTTGTAACCATTTTAAAACAATTGATACATTTTGGTGACACACTTAAGGTGGCTAATTTTTAACATTTTCACTAATTCGTGCAATTCTTTTTAACCTGAACTGCAGTGGAGTTGTAGAAAGGCTGTTTTACAAACTTCACACTGTGTGGTATTGGATGTGATCATGGTACGATTCTCACTCATGTCAGAGAAACTCTTCTCTATCCCAAAAGAGAGGACAGCATTACAAAAAAAATTAAAGATGAGCCTGTGGCATTCATGAAAAATGTTGATCTAAGGTGTGTGTTAGTCAGATACATTGTTCATGTTGTCATGGTTACTAAAGTATTCTGTTCTTTGTTTTTGTTCTTGGAGGTTGATCCTGTGCTCGGTGATTTCAGTGGCAAAACTCCCATTGCCTTCACCAGGCAAAGGATCTTACACTTTGTGTCTGTCATCCAAAGATCACAAAATACTTACAAAAATTGATTTCATTAGGCCTCACAGCACTACCTCTGAGAGTAGTAGATAAGTATTATCATGCCCATTTTACAGAAGGGTAAAACGAGGGTGGGGGAATAAGTTGCTTGCATAAAAATATACAGCAAGTTAGTAACAGCTGGAAATTATAAAAGAGAAACAGGATTCCTGTGGTCAAGTGGCCTGCTATAACCACAGACATCTATTTGATACCAACAATAACATTTCCTTCGAATAAATGAAAAGTTTTCAAAGAATGGAGACTGTTTGTTTGAAACATGAATCTTTAAAAAACGTTTGTTATAACAGGCTATTTTAAAATATTTTAAGTAAAAACTAGTGAGTTACATGATGTACTTAAGGCCTAGAAAGAGACTAAGGTATCTGTGCATGTTAATATGGAGTAGCTAGCTATACCATGGAATACATTATACTTAGCTTTTTGGTAAAATGGAGCATTCAGCTTTCTGGTTTTCACTTAGTAGTCAAACCCAGAATTCAGCACTTCAGAGTGCTACTGATTTTTTGTTTTAAATCTCCTTGAAATATTCTAAACAACTACATTGTGTTTCTTATTTAGAGGTATTTGTATTTTAGTCTTGGAAAGTCCAAAATCATCCTGATTTCTGAGTGCTGGCTGCTGGCTATGAATGGAGTTGTTTTACAGAGTATGGGGATGGAGCCAAAAGAAAATACTTTAAAATAAATAAATAAAATAAAGTAATTAAATAGAGACTGATCAGAGTGGAGAGAGGGAGGTAATTGCATATTGAGGATTATGTAACTTGTTTGTCTGTCTATCTGGTTTTTTCACCTATGTAGTAACATTCTTTAAAATATCTGGTGATGAAAGGAATATTTTTATGCATGACTATTTAAAAGAACAAACTATAATCTGCCTTTTTCAGTTTTATCTCTGTCTAAAGAAATTATATACAGAAGAGGCAATTTGCTTTGTGTTCATCATACTTTCAGGAAAAGTAGACTCTTTACTTGATTGCCACATGGCAATCGGTAACTAGAACATTAATATTTCTACAGTTAAGGTTTTAAACAATGTTACTTAAGGACACTGTGAAGGGACTGTCATCTCTTGATTGCCTCCTTACAGCTGGGTGCGGTATTTACTCTTGGGGGAATTCTGCGCATCTGCGGACACACACAATTCATCTGTCTCGCATAATTTTGTATTTTCCCGCATAAAAACATTTTGCCTAAGTGCTGCAGTTCTGCCTTTTGCCCACCAGAGGCTGCTGTGGCGCTAGAACAGGCAGCATGAACGCAGCTGGCTGTCCTGGCACCACAGCAGCTTCTGGTGGGCAAAAGGCAGAACTGCAGTATTTCTGGGCCAGAATGTTTTTTTATGCGGGAAAACACAAAATTCTGTGCCTAGTGCTGTGGAATTGCCCCCGGAGTAGAGTTCATAACAGCACCCTGAACAGAGTGGGGCACAAAGGGCTGCTGTGGGGTTCAGAATAGCTATGGGGAGGGGGGGGGGGACACAGACTGGAGCATGGGCTCAGGAGCTAGTTGGGATTGGAAGGGGGCTGCAGAGACCCATGAGGATGAGGGGTGCATGGAGGGGGCAGATGTGCCTGACTGAATGTGAGAGGCTTGGGGTCAGCCAGGATCTGCATGGGGGAGGCTTCCCAACATCCTAAGAATTCCCCCTCCCCAAGAAAAACCTCCCACCCACACCCAACACCCTCCAGATTCACTCCTAGGCTCCTTCCCTCTCCCTCAGCTCTTCCGTTACCCCTGACTCCCCCAAGCCTTTGCATTGCTTCTGACAGGTGCAGGAAATACGGTTCTGTCTTGTAATTTAAATGTATTGCACAAGGTTCTGTATTAATATGCCTAGTAAGGAATCTATTTGTCCAAAAAAAAAAATCTTTTTTTTCTCTCTGCATTGTTAGACATACTTGCTGACAGATATTTTGAAATAAATTACCAAAATAATTGTAACTGGCATGATTATGTTGTGTTATTTTGACAAATAAAATATATAGAATTTTGCAGAATTTTCAAATGTGTGCAGAATTTTTAATTTTTTGGTGCGGAATTCCCCCAGGAGTAGGTATTGCAGTCCTTCTCTCATCCCTGGTGTCTTCTGCAGTCTTCCAGCCAGCCAATCGTGGTGGGTCTTCCATGGCTTGGCCCTCTGGCCAATTCACGAAGTCCAAATGAACCCCTTCTGGGGTATTAAAGAGTCCAATAAATAAACGGTCTATTTGTCCTTGCTGGGGTCGTCAGCCCCATCTCTGGGGCCCTTTAAATTCAGCCTTTTGTTCAGGCTCACAAATTAGCTCCATTCTCTCCTTGGGGTTTATACCACTTTACCTGTGGCCAGTAGAGGAACCTGGGCCCACCCGCTACTCTGAGTTCCAACCGAGGGACTATACACAGTGGCCACATGCTGTTTGATTTAATTTTTTCTGCTTCTTTCCTTGGTGTTTTCCCACCTGGGTCCTTTAGCTTTACCCTTATCTCGGGTCCTCTCTCTCTCCCTCCATTCAAAGCAAGCTATGCAAAACACAGTCAGAAAACAAACTCGGGCTATTCTTCAGGTTTCTTTGGCCAGGACTGTTAAGGCCAGGCAGCTCCTTTTATTTCGGTCATCAGGGCCTTGGTTGGCTGTTGCTTGCCTTTCTAGCTTTTAGAGGACCAGGTCTCTCTGGTTTCCAAAATGGCCACTCTGGAGACTCCTCTGTGGGCAAGGTTGAAAGACCTACCTTTGCTGCTCTTTTCATTTAAGCTTGTTGCTACTTGGGACCGGGTGTAGTAGGACCACAGGGCTCCCAGCAGGGAGCCACAAAGGCCAAATACACCATATCACAGACACTGTTATAATAAAAATGGTTTTCAGGCAATAGCTTGCAGTCCTAACTCAGGAAAAACTCCAGTTAAAGTCATTGAGAATTTTTATTGAACAGAGACTCAAAAATTGGACCTATGTAATTTAAAAATGTCTTTGCCCAATTTTCAGTGAACGTAATGAGAGTGTTCACATGTATAAAGTCACTCATTTATGAGTGAGGTGTGCAATGCAGATCTTTTATATGAGTAACGTAGATAACATTTTAGATAATTGAACATGAAAGATGTAAAAAATCAAACTTAATTTTACTGTTAGACTATTTATTTTCCTTTTTTCCTTCTTCCTTCCCTTTTCCTTTAACAGTATTACAGAAATATTGTTGCATTTCTCCATAATAGTAGTTCAGTTGTAGCTATTAGGAATGGACAAACTTCACTGATGGAATTAGGTTTTGTGAAGCTTGCAAGCAGCCCTTTGGGTTCAAAGGGTTAACAATTAATTGGAGTGCTGGATTTCCCCAACCACCACCCTTGTAATTTAAACAGGGGGGCATAATTCAGCTCCAATTGAAGTCAACATGAGGTTTATCACAGACTTCAATGGGACCAGAATTTGGTCCATTGTGTGCATCCCTCCCCGCCACCTCCCACAGCATGATTTGAATAAATTCTGTTCTCCTGGCAAAACGGAAGCCTGTGCTGTGTACTAAGAGTAGGACTTTTTTCCTTGCCCCCAAATTAGGCTGGCACAAGTGATTGGCTTGAATACAGTGCATATAGCGAGTACTAGATATACTTGCTCATTATAATTTTTCTCTGTCCTATTTCTGGTCCTTTTATCATAGTCTTTCAGGACAGAGACTATGGGGGAAAAAAGTTAAGAGTAAAAGAACTGGAAAAGCAGAGGAAAGTGAAACACACGATGTAAGCGTTTGACTCAAACTTACTGACCCACAATGTTGGGCAGGGTTCAAAACTAGGCAAACTGAATTTGCTTAGTCTTAATTACTATTATTATAGTACGTAATACTAGTGTTCATACAGTACTTGTGTACCATAGATGTTAAGTTGTTTGTTTTATTACTACCTTCTAGGTCCATCTGGGCAGTGGAATCTGGGTAGATGAGGAGAAATGGCACCAGCTGCAAGTAACGCAAGGAGATTCAAAGTATACAAAAAACCTAGCTGTAATGATTTGGGGAACAGATGTTCTCAAGAACAGAAGCGTCACAGGAGTTGCAACCAAAAAAAAGAAAGATGCAGTTCCCAAGCCACCTCTCTCACCTCACAAATTAAGCATTGTCAGAGGTAGGTTACTTGAAAACTAGGTTCCTGCTGTGGAGTTTAAACATTAATCAGCTAGATGAAAAATGCTTCTATCTTATGTAAAATTCATCCACTTAAAAACTAAAATAAAAGTTACTGTTGCAACACACACTACTCCCCTCCCAAAAACAGACACTTGCTTGAATAGCCAGACCCAGTGCAGTCCTTCGAGGGCCCAGTGCTACAAGATGACTTTGGTGGGGTTCAGGGTGCTCATCATGTCAAAGCAGGCATTTGCAGGATAGGCCCCAAATGAGCTTTGCAGACAGCACTCTCTGTTGGAATTTGTTGATAACTTACTGATGTTTTGTAATGCATGTATCACTTTTGACAAGCACTGGAATAACTTTACAACATTACAGCTATCCATTGGGAGAGAGCCTTTCATTTCTCCCATCTCTAAGATACAACTCCCTCTGGGGTGGGGCACAGAAGCCGTTATTATAACATCTGTACAAATCTTCATCTCCCCCTTCCAAAAACAGATGTATAACAGCTTTTCCATTTGAACCAAAGTGAAGTTAGATGGGTAGAAATCAATTTCTGTTCCTAAGTTGGAATTTGAGCAAGAAATGTAGATCAGTGACCCTAACTGGGCAAGAAGGATTGTGATGAGACCTTGAATAACCACGAGCAAGCATCCCATGTGCAAGGTGCTGAAAGAGTCAGAACAGTGGTTGTCCTTTATTTTAAGTGACTAATAAAGTTCAATCTTTTTGTATCATCATGCTTGCATTTTACACTGTCACTTCTAATAGTCGTCTTTGGTTCTACAGAGTCCTCTCTGTTAGAACTGAGCCAATTCTGCATGGAATTTTTACCAAGAGTGGGGTGTTAGCCTCTGCATTCTGCCTCCTAAAGCTCCTTGTGCAGTTTCAGTGGGATATTATTCTAAATTGCTGTGTAGGGTTCCTGCAAGCTGTATTAAATAGCGGCTGTATTCCAAATCAAACGTGGCTGTATTTTGGAAGCAGGAAATATAATTTCTGTATGTATAGGTTATAAAGTGATCTTATTTCCAATTCCCTCATCCCAACTCACTCCTGTAATTAGTCATGCTCATTTCTTGTGCCTTGTCCTTCAATTGGATAATAAGAATTTTGGGGCAGGGGACCATGCTTTCTTCTGTATGTTCAGTGCCTTGCTAAAGGGGCTCCATTTCTGGTGGGTGACTCTTGGTGCTACCACAGCACCACTAGTAAAGGAGTGTGACATAATATTCTGGTTGTAGCTATGACTGTCGCTCACCAGCTTCTACTAGCAATAATTGGGTAAATCTCTCCAGGAGAAATGAATGGTCACTTCAAAAAAGTAATGGTTCCTGTAGATGATTAAAGCAGACTTTTTTATAGGTAACTGGTGATAGGGTGTGGAGTTCTGCTTGTTGGCTATTACTTAGTGGGTTTTTTCCCTCCACCAAATCACTGTATGAAGACTACCGTAGAATACAAACAGGGCCGCCACCACCCTGGACCCCTGCTGCGGGGCTTCCCTGGACCCTTTGAGGCTGGCCAGCAAACTCTGACCCTCACCCTGTGGAGCTGCGTGGCTACCCAGACCCTTGCTGCACACCTGCCCTGACCCCAGACCCTCACCATGGGGCTGGCTGCCTGTGGCAGCCCACCCTGGACCCCACAAGGCTGGGTGGGGCCAGCCAGCTGCCCTGACTCCAGACCCCTGCTGTCTGGCCCCCGACCCCGCCACATGGCTAGCTGCCTGGACCCCTGTAGCAGGGCTGGCTGTGGCCCACCCTGAACCCTGAGGGGCGGGCTGACTGCAGACCCCTGCCACGTAGCTGCCCTGGGCCCTGTGGGGCTGGCTGTCTGGCAGACCCAGACCCCCACCATGTGAGCCGCACAGCTGCCCCAAGCCTGGACTGCCGGTGCAGGCCCGGCTACCCCCATCCCCAATCCCCACTGTGGGGATGACTTCTGCAGCCTACCCCGGACCCTGCGAGGCTGGATGGCCCCTGCGCAGCTGCCCTGACCCCGGAACCCCGCCATGCAGGGCTGTGGGGCTGCTTGCCCTGGACCCCTGCTGCATGGCTGCCTCGGAGCCCGCAGGGCCAGCTGCCCACCCTGGATCCCCGCCACATGGCTGCCCCGGATCCTGGACCCCCGCCGCAGGGATGCCCCGACTCCCGGAGCCGACTGCCTGCGCCAGACCCTGCCATGTGGGTGGGCTGGCTGCCCTGGCCGCCCTGTGACCTTGTGGGGCCGGCCAGCTGCCCAGACCCCTACTGAGCAGCTGCCCCAGATCCTGCAGCTCACAGGACTGGGCAGCTGCCCTGGACCCTGGGTCCCCAAACCTTGGGGCCAGTGAGAGCCCCAGATCCCTGACCCACAGGGTCAGCCGCCAGCCCTGACCCCAGACTCCTGCCAGACGGGGTGAGCCAGCAGCCCTGACCCCACTGGGCAGCGTGGACACCTCTGCGCTGGGCAGTCAGGAACCTGGTGGCCCCGGTACGTTGGCAGTCATTAGCACAGAGCTTGGCCCACTGAGAACTGCTGCACTATAGACAGTCTCCCCATGCAGCCATTTATCTGCTGCCTGTGATGTGTGTAGGCAGCAGCAGGGGATGGCAGAGCAATTCTTCTGTTTGCAACATCAGGCAGTCTGTGGGCCTGATAGTTTTCTCTAAGTCAGGCTTCTCTGGTTTTCACCAGAATCAATAAGGTACTGCCAATTGATGTCTAGATCAGTCCCTGAAACTTTGAAATCGATTGGATGCAGTGTTCAAAAGTTATCACGCTACAGACACTGGAATGCTATGACACTGAGTGTAGGGCCTTGCTGTGCATGGCCTTGCTGTGCATGGCCAGTGACATGGACTGTGCACCTAAACAAAAGAGTACAATTCTCTTTACGCACCTGTGCAGACTACCTGAATCTCAGATCCAGATGCGTAGGAGACAATGGGCTACTTGTCTACTTACACCCTCAACGTAGCTGGACGACAAGGAATGGGTGGACCCTGTCTCACTGATCAGTAGCTAAACCAGCAGCCTTATACCAGCAGTAAATTACTCCCCCTTGTTGCCCTCAGAGTGGTGGACAGGAAGGAAGTAGAGGAAGAATTGTGGCTCATGGGGTATGTCTGAGTCACAATGGCTCCTAGGGCCACTTTTGAATTGGTACAACTTACACATTACCTCTTGCTCGGGGCACTGGTAAAGTCACAATATTGTCTGTATTTATGTGGCAGGTCCCTTGGGCAGAAACCCCCTATTTGTTAGTAATAGTTCAGTGGTATACTACTGAAGTTTCTATAGTGATGTAATGTTCTGCCTTGAGCACAATGAATCTGTCAGCGTTTCAGTTAATTCCCCCACTGTTTGCCGCATTATTTCAAATCATATTTTACTGCATATTGGTATCCCAGCTATCAGTCTGCCTGCCAGTTGGTTTTATTTATTTAGTAATAGCCAATAAATTTTCCAATGAAGAGTTCATAAAATTCACATTGTTTCAGATGTTTTCACCATTTTCTAGTTCCAGAATAGCTTATTTAAAATACATTTTAAAAAGACAGAATTAGCTCTTAAGGTGGCTAACATCCCTTGCTGCTTAAAAATCCCTACAGTGTAATACATTATACAGAAGTTATAAAAAGTCTGATGCATGAGCACTGTTATAAACCTTGTTAATGCAAAATATAACCTTTTATAAAACTTCTGAGCAGCTTCAAAATCAAATACAAAGCATAAATACTTAATTTTCATAACTTTTGAATAAAACTTGTTAATTAAGCAATAATCTCTATCGCTTTCTAGTATATAAAGCAATAAATGGCTGTTAAAATTGATTACTAGCCAAAGCAAAGCAGAGATTGTTTAATCAATCCTGGAAGCTATTTATTACTAGAAGCCTACACAACAATAGAGATTATTTCAGTTATAAAACAAATAACAAAATGCATACCTGATTTTAAGGAGCTGAAAGTAGGGTGCTACCTCTCTAATTCATTGCAGAAAAACAGATTAGATCCTGCAACTTGCTAAATGCCATCTGGGGGTGGTGGAGTGTGGTCTGAGCTCCCACTGGCCTCAACTGACTTTGATTTTTTAATTAATTATTATTATTTATTTTGTATTTACATTCCAGTAGAGCGGAGCCTACAATATGCAAAGTACTGTACAACACCAGAGCAAGATGGTCTCCACCCCAATCTAGTAAACCAACAAAATACAAATGGTTGGGAAGAGATGTATAACCAAGATATAGCCATATTAATGTATACTACATAAATTTTTTTAAAATGTGAAATAAATGTCCCCTATCTCCTACTGCTTCTCCTCCTAACCACTATTATTTGGCTAATGTCTTGTAGGTGTGACGGTAGAAGTGACTTGAAGGAGGAAAGGGTAGTGGCCTGACAGATCATTTTCAGTAAGGGTGTTCCATGTCGTCTGGAAGAAAGCTCTAAGACTGTTCTGGGAGATGTGGACAAATGAAGGGGTTAAGGTTGGCATTGATGACAGAGAGGGTAGGAGTGACACCATATGAGTTTGGATTTACCCCCATTTCTACTCATGAGGCCAGTGCAATGTCATAACTTGTGAGCTTATTGTGCCCTACAAAGATTCAAATATGGCAAGCCTAAACTTGTGCCAGATAAAGGGGACCAAACCAATGAATCAGAGAACCCTTTTTTTGTACAATAGAACACTATATTAAAAAAATATACAAGTTGCTTATGAAGTGCTGGCTCTGTAGTACCTTGAGCATGTTTTATTTGCTGTAATTCCAGCACAGGGCTAATTTCTTTCCTTAAAAATAATAACTGCTGTTCTCTTACTTCTCCCTCCAGAATGTTTGTATGACAGAATAGCACAAGAAACTGTGGATGAAACTGAAATTGCACAGAGACTCTCCAAAGTCAACAAGTACATCTGTGAAAAAATCATGGATATCAATAAATCATGTAAAAATGAAGAAAGGAGGGAAGCAAAGTACAATTTGCAATAAATTTTGGATTTTTAATAAAGTCTTAGTGTTTTACTTATGTCGTCTTGATTTGTGTGGAATTTTTGCTGAGGCAATTAAACTGGCTTTTAGTGTGGATCTCATTCTGAAATGTTGATGTATTTTTAAGCAGTTTTGTAAAATGGCTAGATATGTAACCTGCTTTAAAGTGATTTCAGATACAGAATCATAAAAATGTAGGACTGAAAGGGCCCTTAGGTCCTCTACTGCAGTCTCCTGCACTGAGGCAAGGCTGAGTATTAGCTTGAGAAGCACTGTTCTAGATATCTGATGAGGGGGACCGGCAATTTTTTTTTCCAGTGTGCACGCAGACTAGCAGCCGATGGCTCACGGACCGGCACCGGTCCATGGACCACCACTTGGAGTAGCACTGATCTAGAAGACTATCCCTGACAGGTGTTTATCTTAACCTCCACTGACTGAGATTCCACCACCTCCCTCGGTAATTTGTTCCAGTGATTAACTACTCTTACAGTTAAGAAGTTTTACCTAATGTGTAACCTAAATCTCCCTTGCTGTAATTTAAGCCCATTACTTGTCCTGTCCTCAGTGGATAAGGAGAACCATTTATCACCCTCCTCTTCATAACGACTTTTACCTATTTGAAGACTTATCGTGTCCCCTCCTCAGACTTCTCTTTTCCAGACTAAACAAACGCAGTTTTTTCAGTCTTTCCCCATAGGTCATGTTTTCGAGAACTTTAATCATTTTCCCCCATCCCCCCTGGATTATCTCCAGTTTTTCCATATCTTTCTTGAAGTGAGGTGCCCAGAACTGGACACTATTCCAGAGCCTTATGAGTGCTGAGTAGAGTGGAAAAATTACTTCTTGTATCTTCCTTACAACACTCCAGCTAATGCATCCCAGAACGATGTTTGCTTTTTTTTTATCTTTATACACGTTATAAATGTACACTCGATGCCATTATCTAAATCATTAATGAAGATATTGACTAGAACCAGACTCAGCACAGATCCCTGCAGATCCGCACGCGATATGCTCTTCGAGCTCAAGTGTGAACTATTAACTGCTCTCTGAGTACAGTTTGTATGCACCTTACAGGAGGTTTGTCCAGGCTACATTTCCTTAGTTTGCTTATGAGAAGGTCATGTGAGACTATCAAAAGCCTTACTAAATAGTGAAAGTCCATTACCTAACGCATTAGTCCATTAAACAGTGAAAGCTCAAAGGAGAGTGAAACTCCCAGGTTGTTCCAATGCATTGCAACAAGCTGACTGCAGTTCTGTTTCGGTTGTGATTCTGCAACACTGACCTGTATTTTTATTCCAGTGAAGTCTGTGGGATGCTACATGGACAAATCTCTATGCAGGATCTGGGCCATAGTAAACCTCTGCTTAAAGTGAAGTTCTGGTGGGAAAAAAAACTCTTTACTGTAAGAAAGTTTCACTGTACTTTACAGTGTGCTTTCCTGGAACTGCCTATAAATTTGCTTGCTTTTATGATCTTTTGTTTCTATTTTAATATATTTGCTCTAGAGCAGCTGAACAGTGCGTCCTTATAACTTATCTTGACCAACTAGGTCACCATTAGTTTCAATTAAAAAAAACAAAACACTAAACTTTTCTCCAAGTTTTAGTATGTGAATGACTTGTAAACATTTCTAACAGGAACTCAACTGATGAGCTTTTCAGACATAAGGGAAACTTTCAGATAGGAAGTGTTATATTTATGCAACCTATTCAGAAGGTATGTGTTACAATTACTCTTGAAGCACTACATTCTTAATGGTATTTATATTTCTTTTCTGAACGTATAAAACAGTAATAGAGAATATAAAGATTCTGTATGCAAGAAAAATGTGTAATAGAAAAATAAGATAATCTAGTACCAATTGTATTGAGTCCATAAATGAGCTATGGAAATATTTGAACACAAGCTTAAGCATCAAGAGAACTTATTTTCTGGATTGGAGTCAGTCAGGCTTATGGCACAAAATCAAAGAAATATTTGCTTGTGGCATGACTGAATGACCCCTTAATGGTTGTAACTGGATGAAATCAATGTCTTCTAGTGGGTCTTGTTTCATGCAAGGGATTTGGGAGTAGATGCTATAGAGAAAATAATTTAAATCCTGCAAATCCATAAACAACTGAACAATCTCTAGAAGATAAAGAGTGTCTGTCTCATAGCGCTTCGATAAAACTGTATTTACAAGAGTGTGGCTATCAATAATAGGTATGCAGTGTTGGAGCTGGCAGCGGCAGGGTGTAAGGCCTTATCTACGCTGCCACTGTACAGCGCTGCAGCTCACTCAGGGGTGTGAAAAAACACCCACACACCTCAAGCGCTGCAAGTTTCAGCGCCGTAAAGTGGCAGTGCAGACAGTGCACCGGCACTGGGAGCTACTCCCCTCACGGAGCTGGGGGTTTTTTGGGCTGGTGCCGCAACTACACAGGAATGTTAAAGCGCTGCCGTGGCAGATAAATTTGTGGAGGACAGGTCCATCGATGGCTATCGGCCAGGATGGGCAGGGATGGTGTCCCTAGCCTCTGTTTGCCAGAAGCTGGGAATGAGTGACAGGGGATGGATCACTTGATTACCTGTTCTGTTCATTCCCTCCGGGGCACCCGACAGCGGCCACTGTGGGAAGACAGGATACTGGGCTAGATGGACCCTTGGTCTGACCCAGTAGGGCCATTCTTATGTAGTGAAGACATGGAAAGACATGATGGGTGAGGTAATACCTTTTATTGAACCAATTTCTGTTGGTGAGAGAGACAAGCCTTTGAGCTACACAGAGCTCTTCTTCAGGTTTGGAAAGTAGGACAGCTAAATGCAAGGTTGAACAGATAGGTTAGCGTAAGTAAGCAGCACATATTGAAGGGACCATCCAAGGTGAAGTTGTCCCTTAACACTCCAGTAGTCATAGGATTAACAGGGGTTAGTGGGTTACAGATTGTTGTAATAAGCCATAAATACAGTATCTATTTAGACCATGATTTTTAGTGTCGAGCAAAGTTATGAATTTAAGCTCCCAGGCTTGTGTTTTCAATGTCTTGTGCAGGTTTCTGTTGAGCATGAGGACTGAGACGTCAGATATGGAGTGATGACTTTGTGAAAAGTATTCACCACAGATGATAGAGTGGGTTTTGGGTTTTTTTTTTCTGTGTGTGTGTCCTTTTATCAGATTGTTCTGTAACCCACTAACCCCCCTTTTTGTCATGACTGCGGGAGTGTTAAGGGGCCACTTCACCTTGAATGGTCCCTTAGAATACTGCTAACTACTTATACATCCGATGAAGTGAGATGTAGCTCATGAAAGCTTATGCTCAAATAAATGTTAGTCTCTAAGGTGCCACAAGTCCTCCTTTTCTTTTTGCGAATACAGACTAACATGGCTGCTACTCTGAAACCTATGCTAAACTATGTGTTTGATCTTGTATTTAGCTGTGACACCCTGCATACCTTTCTCAGACTTAAAGAAAAGTTCTGCGTAACTCGAAAGCTTGTCTCTCACTCCAACAGAAGTTGGTCCAATAAAAGACACCCACCTTGGTTATCAATAAGTCGTTAGTTCACTGATTTGAGTGTCAACACCCTTCCTTCCCCCAAAGTCTGCTTTTGGTAGTTTTGGGATGCTAACAACTTATCTTCCATTAAACACTTAAATACTGATAGGAATGAACACTATGGCTTAACCTATTGAAACTTTCTATATGTATTGGGATAATTTGAAAGCAGCATTGCAGGGATTCTTCTAGGGGATTTTAAGGAAAAAAATAGACAAATGACGCATGGTTCAGTGGATGCATTATAAACCAAAGTAATGCTGTATAGTGCTATAACAGCACTCATTTAAGTGCTTTGTTGGATCAGCGCCGAAGTATTTATAATTCATACATTCTGAGTGTCGAGCCCATTTCGTGTAATTCTCAAAAAGTTCTTCTGAAATACAAACAGAAAAATTCCAGTGCTTTTGTTGTCTTTAGAAGGGCAATAGTTATGAAGTGAGCTGTAGCTCACGAAAGCTTATGCTCAAATAAATTTGTTAGTCTCTAAGGTGCCACAAGTACCCCTTTTCTTTTTGCGGATACAGACTAACACGGCTGCTACTCTGAAACAGAAAAGGTATGGAACGAAGTATTAGCCTAAAAGCATCACTATTCCAGACAGGACTTAAATGCTTTCCTGAACTGGGGTGCTAGGTAGGAAAGAACTGTGTTTTTACTATCAACATATATAACTATTTCTTTTTTATTAAAGAGCAAAATAAAGATAAAGTTGACGAAACAACTTGGAAACTGGGTTCCACATTTCTGGAAAATACTCATGAATTGATCTTTAAAAAGGCAATTTAGGCTTAGAGAAAATTTCTGTCATTCCCTCTCCCCTCTCTCTCTCTCTCTCTCTCTTTCCCCCTCTTCCTGCTACCCACTGGAACTGTTAAACACTGTACTGCTAATATAATTCCATTGTAATGTTCTTTAATAATATCATAATTCTACTTTTCTTGAAAGATGAATATAGACTAAGCTTATTTGAGGCAATATTTCATGAAACCTGGGAGAAGTAGATTAGAACTGAATCAGAGATTCGGGGTCTAGTCTGTCTCCCCAAAAATCAGAGATTCAAAGTTTGTATGAATAACCAGCACCAGCATCCTAATAGAGCCTCTTCTAGACAGACTTAGCACATCAGACACCCTTCCTGCACATTGCTCAAGAATTCAAACTATTCAGAGAAGAGATCTCTCTGAAGATTTCAGTCCACCTCTCTGTGCCTACAGCATCTACCACCCTAGGTCCAAGGAGCTTTCTGCAACAGATGCATTAAAGCACCTGGATGATGCAAAGAGGTTCACTTCTAAAGTAAACACTGTGTGTATCACTGGGAACGGCTAGCTACGGTGGGTTGAGTTAAATTGTAAAGCTGGCATTTACGGTTAAATTAAAATCAATGCAAGTTTTGTTTAAGTTGACATTAAATAAGTTGGGCATCCTGAAGGCAGTACCTTCCAATAATGTGTTATATTTTTAATGCAATGCAGTTTTCTGGAAA